TTGTTTGTTCATTTGCTTTGATTGGTGCTACTTCTTTAGGAAAGACCGAGCTCCTCCAGATGGCCCTCCTTCTCAACTGGTGACTCACGGACACTCATGGGCACTTGCTGAGCACTGGGTAGACTCATCATTTGGGCCCCTTGGGAAGGTCACAGGAGGTTGTAGCGGTGGCAGTTGAAATGTCAGAAAGTTTGTCCATGACAGAGGTCCCATGCAGCCTGAGATGGGGACTGTTGAGGGACAGCAGGAGAGCAGTGTAGGGCTTGGGGGTGGCTGACAAGGATGGCCACACTTTGTCCTTGCCTGTCCAGCGTGCACGGGATTGGTTCTCAGTCAGGGTCATCGTGTCTGTGTCTCTCTCACTCTGCCAGTGCAGATAAAGAGCTGTGAGCACGGTCTTAGCACGTCGCTACTGGGAGGAACTTAGAGGTCACCTAGATCAGTGGGGACGCAGTGGGATGTAACCCTTTGGTCACCCTCCTAGTGGGCTGATGGTTCGAGGGACTGTATCAGTCAAACCAAAGAATTCATTTCCTTTTCTTGTCAGATACCTAGGTCACCCAGAATTCTGGTTAGCATGTGAGAGATAAATTAGCACACAGAGATGCTACGATTCTCGTCCGAGGAAGATGATGTACACATCTAACGAGAACGTGCACCCTTGTCAATGTATGATTTAATGACTCACCAAGGTTTTTAATACTAGCAATTGCTGTAAATCCTCATCATTACTTTCCAGGATCCTAATTTGAGGAAATTAGATTTAGTCTAATCCTCGCAAGCTAGAGTTCAACACTGAGGCTTCCTGAGTGGCCCTTAATAAGGGCTGGAATGGAGCCAGCCCCTAGGCAGGCTGGGCAGGTTTTGGGGAGAGTGGGGGCATGGGAGTGAGCTGGGAGAATTGTGGCTCAGGGGTGGAGTGGGGAGTAGGACTGGTTGAAGGGAACGGTACCCCTTATTCATGGGTGGTGTTTGGTGTCCAGTGGATTCATAGGTGCTCAGGGGCCCACTCCTCTCTTTTAAAAAAATTATGTTCCACGTTTGTCATCTTACTTATTATCCCAATTTGACATAGGGCCACTCTTCATAAAACTTTTATTGCAGTAAAATATATGGACATAAAATATACCGTGGTAACCATTTGAAAGTGTACTTATTCAGTGTCATTAAGGAAGCTCACCTGCTGTGCAGCCATCACCACCATCTGTCTCCCGTTCATCTTCCCAAACTGAAGCTCTAGTCCCATCATACACCCACCTTCCGCCAACATTAACTCCCTGTCCCTTAGCCCCTGGTTCCCTCTGTTCTGCTTTCTGCCTCTGTGGCCTGAATACAAGGTAGCCCATCTGCATGGAATTGCACATACAGTGTCTGTCCTTCTGTGACTAGCTTATTTCACTTAGCATGGTGTCCTCGTACAGGGAGAGGAGAGCACATAGTCAGTCTCGGGACAGCCCCCTAAGTCATAAGCTCATAAACGGCCCTTCTCATCAGATGTTTGTAATTTTTTGGCATCTCAGCTTATCTCTACAGCAGAGGGATCACAATTCCTCATGAAGGGTTTGCTAGTTTAGTTAAAGTAAGCTGTTTCTCCTGTTGCTCCCATGAGAATGACGACTGTGGCCAATCTGTTCCTCACTCTGCCCCCTCACTGTCTGCTGGTCTTTCCTTCCCTGGGTTGGTCTCTGCACAGGGTCTGCTTGTGTCTGGCTCATGAGACTTTGCCACACCAGGAAGCCACCTGAGAGCAGGTGGCACCATCTCGAGTCGTTTGGCCCCTGGGCAGTAGATTCTGGACCATGTGGGTGAGTGGTCACCAGCTTGTAGTTTGGTATGGATTTGGGGAACCCCTCTACCATTCTGGTTTGGGGGATGTCCCAAGCACCCTGCCCTTTCCCTCTCAGACATTCCCCTAGCAAAGGAGGCAGAATTAGCTGCAGCCTTAGGAAAGGGGGACAGAGACCGACTGGAATGTGCCCTCTCTAAAGGACTCCCTGTGGGATTTAGAAAACAGATTCTCCAATGAGCATCATTTATAAATGAATAACTGAATTTGCAGGACATCGGTTAGGCTGTCAGCAAAGAAGAAAGCCAACCTGTCAGAAAAAAAGAGGTTTCTTCTGAAAAATCTCTGACTTACGCGAGGCCAGCATGGTTGATGAATTCTTCAGCTGGAATTTTATTTTTAAGTCAAAAAGCTTTTCACTCCCCTTTGTGTCTTGAGTTTCTTTTTGTTGGGAAGTTTTGAAGATGTATTATTAATATAATAACATTAATGAGTTATAGTGGCACACTTACATTTTATTTGCTAGCTGTGGTCTGTGAAATGTGCTTTGTTAAAATGTATTTTGTATCCTATGCCAGGGCTCTTCTTCTCAAGGGGACTGCAGTCCCTCGCATTTGGACTGCTAATGGTGCTGTGGTTCTCATCCCACAGCAAAGTCCATCCACCATCTTAGTCCTGTGGCACCAACCAGTGGCTGGAACTAAATGGAGAATACTGCAAAACTCTAGGAACTGATTTTCTAGAGGTACAGAATCAAGGCTTCTGCATGGTTCCCCTTGATTTACTCAGTGCTTTGGCAGGAACTTACACATTTTTGTTTTTTTTTATGCCCGACAGTGAACAAATCAGTAGCATTTGGGTGCATATGGGATTTGACATTCAAGTCTGAGAATTTCTTGCATCAGTTTTGTGCTTCTTGAATGGATGCTTTCTAGTGACTGGTGATCTAAAGAGGAATTGAGTTCAGTGAATCAGGCTGTGTCTCAATGACTCATCTTCCCTGATTCCTGGGACAAATTCATCCGAGACACACCTCGCGCTTAAAGCATGGAAATGAACTGCATGTCACTTCTCGTTGGGGTTCCACTGCCTCCTGGGAAACTGGAGACCTGGAGGCTGTGCACCTAGCAGTTAAGAGCATGAAGGACTTGGGTTTCAACTTACACTTGTGTGGCCCTTGAGAAGCTGGCCAGCTTCCTTGAGGGTCCTCCTCTAGTCACAAGGAGAGACAAAATACCATGTGTGAAGTACAGTGTGGCACAATGAACAGTGATTTATGGGCAGCTTGAAAAAATGGACACACTTGAGAAACTCTGACCATGATATTTAGGGGAAAAAACCAATTGACATGAAATGTTTTGCAGTAGGTGGTTATGGTGGGACCTCTGCTGTCTTTACTTACTGCTAGGTCTTGATGGTGGGGCCCTCAAAGAATTTCAGAGCCTGTTCCCAGGAGGTGGGTGCTATAAATGGCTGGGTGCCAGAGTTAGCCTTCAGGGACAGCTACTCTCTTGAGCAGTATCCCAGCCAGGGAAGTACTTGAAGGAAGCTCCAGGCATGTGCAGCCCCATTTAGCAATGCCATCCCTTCCTGAGCCTCCGGCTCTCTAGGCTGCTCTGCACAGCCTCAAGCCAGCCTTCCCACCTTCCAGAACACATCTAATTGTCCCTTAGGCACTCCCGACTATGAGGCACTGGCAGCCATTCACTGCTAGTTATCTATTAATATTTCATTCCAGCAGTATTTGAGCAAAACTTGCCAATTTTACCTGAAGATTCTGCTTTCTTTTAGAGCCCCCCATAGAGTTTCTATAGCTAGGGCTCAGAGGCAGTCTTTGTTTGGGTGGCAGAGCAGAGAAGAGCGTGACGTAATGTTCATACAGCCTTTTACCAAAGATGGAGAAGTTGTTAATTACCCACCTCGAAGGAAGTGTTGAGTCCTAACAGAGTTGGGGAACAGGGACTGGAATTCTCCCACCTGCCCCCTGAGATCACTCGATTTTATCCACCAGACAGTCCTTCGAATGTGGCTTTCCACGATTTGCACATCTCCTTTCATCTTTGATTTGCACAACTGAACATGAAGATCAACAAACGTAAACATACCAAATGTTTGCCATTTTGAATACTCAAATTCCTACTTCATTTTCAATTTATTAATACAAGTTTCAGCACCTTCATTTGAAAATTTTCTACTAATTTTTAATGAACTAATAGGCATACCATGTATCAGAAATATGAATAATTAAATTAGCCTGGCATCACCATTGAAATGCAGGCAGGTTGGCAGACAATGGCTCAGTAGATGGTCTCAAGTTCAAATTCGCTTAAGAAAAGTTTAGATGTTCACTGATAACCAAAGGCAGGTTGGTTATAAGAAGGCTGAGGGCCACCCTCACTTCTTGCCTGTTCCCCCAGCTAAGGCTGTGTGGACATGGGACATGGGGTCACTGGGGTCCTGGAGTGGGGTGCCGGTGCTGCTGGGGCAGGGACTGAGCGGCAGATAGGGCTGAGAGGGGCGACTGGGTCAGACAGAAGGTGGAGCAAATGCAGGTGTGGAGCCCCGCGGTTACCGTTCAGTTCGCTTTCCTCTGATGACTAAGTTAGCCACAAAACCCACTTCCTTTGATCTCCCCTCAAACACAGTGAGTCTGTTCAGGGGACAGACGGAGTCATGTCTTATAGAGGGTCCAGGGAGGCATGACCTTTCTCCAGAAGATCAATAGAGATGAAAGCTCAGGTGTGAGAGTGCTCAGGACCACAGGAGACCTCGAGAGAAGCTTCCTACCAAGGGTAGAGGGAGGGGGGGAGAGTGAGTGGGGGCCGTGCCCCTAGGGGCCTCCCACCCTCCTCAGGACCTGCCTTGACTCAGACCACTTCCTGCCCTGTCACCCCCTGTCAACCTTTCCTCCGCTCCTGGTCCTGCTTCATATTTATAAACTTTCCTTCAGCACACCCTTGTTTGGTTGATAGATTTAGGCCTGTGACTGGAAAATTAAGAAAATGGAAAATTCTTCCCTGGTTTCCTTCTATAACCAGACAGGATTCTACAGATGCCAAGTCCATGAGGTCAGATTTGAGCTGCTGAGGGGGCCCTGGCTCTGGAGCTGTGGAACGGCAGTCTGATTGTGAGAGGCCATACAACTCCAATGACAGGCAGGTACCCTTACCCTCCGACACCAGGGCACTGCTGAAGAAGGCTGCTGTGTGCCTGAAAACCATTAAACCCTGGTCTGCAGAGAAGCTTCGAGAAGGAGCGTGGAGCTCTGCCTGTCTGCCAAATTCACCTTTCCTCTGAGCTTCTTTTGTTAAAGGCCTCTGTTGCGCTGCTCACCTGTGCTGCTCTGGCACGACCACCTTGAGAAAAATAAGAAAAGAGAAATGGAAGGTGCAGCAGGGCTGTTCCACCAGATGGAGACTTTCTGGTGCCTGTAGGTGGGTTCCAGGCTCCATCTCCCACCGGCTCAGAAAGGGAGAGCAGGTCTGTCCTGATGAGGCCCAAGGAGAAAGGAGTGTATGCTCATATGGGCTACAACTTGCTGGACTAAAGGAACGTGACTGTGTTGCTCTGTGCATCCTCTTCTCTATAGCTGTTTCCTGGGGTTCTAGATATCCAGTTGAGCTCAGACTTAGAGGAGAGATAGATGGGGTGAGAGCTGTCCCCACGGTCATGCTGGGCTCAGCCCTATATGGAAGCCTGGGCTTGGCTGGTATATGCCCTTCACAGTAAAAAGTTAAACTGTAATTATTCAAAATATCAGTAATTCATGAAATGAATTACTTTTTCATTGGGGAGACATACAAAATAATTTTATATGCTTATACCCTGTGAAACTCATAAATTTTTTTTATCAGTTTTGAGAATAAAAACCTTTTTCTACTATAACCAAGTAATTAGCTTGTCCACAAATATTTTTTTCACCTTAAATCTGCTCCCCATGTGGTGGTATCAACTGAAAAATTGGGCAAAACCCAAATTATAATGGTAATTATAGAAAAATGTGAGAATACTGTGCAATCTACAGTCTTTTTTCGTCACTTAGTGGATATAGTGTTGTCAGTGTGAGTCACTGGTGCCTTCTGTTTTCTTGGATTTCTGGATTTATTAATGTTTTCCCTTTAGTCTATAGAACCCGGAGGACCAAAGCTTTATCCCCTGGTGAGTGTTGGAGTCTTGACACCTCTCTGACTCCCTCACTTTTCTGTATTTGCCTCCTGGCCTTTGTTGTTGTTACTGAGATTTACTTTTCCCCACCCCCAACCAACACCTCCAGTTGAGTTCGCATCTTTCTGCAAAATAAAAACATCGTAGTAACATAAGGAGAGAAGCGTGGGCAGAGGCCAGCTGATTATCCGGTATGACATATAGTGTGGCAGGCCAGACCCACGTTTTCATCCTCTCCCTCTTATATATCATCTAGAAGTATCTATTTTTATCTTTTCTTCAGTAAGTTTTCATTCTCTTTCATTCCACAGGGAACCAAACACAAGACTGAGCCAGGAGTGTAGAAATCAAGACTCCCAGGGCTCAGCTGAAATACGGGCAGCCTCTCTCAATGGCTTTCGTATTTTTATAATTGTGAAGGACAATAAGAAATATGTTTTACTCTGAAATTCAGCATACACACAAAGAATATTTTAAAGTTCTGTATTTGTTCTAGTTCCAGTTCATGTTTTCAAAGCTGGTCACAGCTCACTAAATTGTGTTAATGATCAACTTAGGCCTTTCTAGGGCAATCTGAAAAACACAGCTTCCCAGGCTGCTGGTCACCCAGTCCATTATAAGAACTCACTGCTCCCTGGATCAAGGGCCCAACTACAACATGAATTTTACTTTAGAAATGAAAACAGTAGCCTGCGAGGTGGCTCACGCCTGTAATCCCAGCACATTTGGAAGGCCAAGGAGGGTGGATCACCCGAGCTCACCAGTTGGAGATGTTAGGGCCAAAACTATTACCACTGAGAGTCCAGTCTCAAACATGGAAGAAGTGAGTTTATTTTTATCAAGCGTAGGCCTGGGTCACTCCCAAGAGAAAAGCAGAACAGTGGGGAGTGGCCCCTAAACAAAGGCCAGGGAAACTTTTATCCACTTTCTCGCAAGGTACTATGGGTTGCAACAAAATGCTGAAGAAGATGGCTGAGGAAGAAGCTAGTGTCTGGTCACTCATTGGTCAGTAGGGAGGTCTTGGGGTTCCCATAGGCTAACTGCCTTTCAGTGGTTAGGGTCTTAGGGGAATGATAGTGTGTGAACTTTTGATTGGTTGCTACCCCTGGGCTGTAGCTGTATCCTGATTCGATTTATGACCTTGGAGCTTCCTGCAGCTCTTGCCTCCTCCCC